AGGGAAAAATGGCAAAAGAAGAAGGAAACAGTGTTATGTAAGTTGTTTTCACAGCAGCAATAGCTTGGCTTAATGCAGCCTTGATTATATTAGCCGTGTGGTTAAGCGGTTCACAGAGTTGAGTTGTTCCCACTATAATTGATACACTTTGGGATGTTTTGTTATAAGAACAAGTAATCCTCTTACATAACTGAGCTTTTCTGTATAATTGATAACATGGAAGACAATACTGTAAGGATGTGCCACTGCTTATGTCTGTCCAATTTGGAGATGTAATTATTATCACAGAGACAGAGCTACCTGTTTACAGTGATCAGCAAGAGGTCTGATCTTTGCTCAGGGTCTCAGTGTAAAAATAGACACATGTGGGCCAAATTAAGTACCAAAATGTTAATTGGCTTAAGTTTCCTGATGGATACTTTTAAACAGTTGGAAAAAAAAAAGAAAGGTAGTTCAATGGTGGAGGAAAAAGGATGGGAGGAAAATAGGAAGAGCCTGTGATTGTTTGCTTTTGATTGAGTCCAATTTCTTCAATTACCTTCTTAAACACACAGAAGGGAGCTCCGAAGAGCATGTGAAATTAGAAGACAAAGGAAGATGACAAGAGAGCATATAGTCTGATTTTTCCATTCAAACTGACTGACTTTAAACACTACATTGAATGGGATTGACTCTCTGAGGAAAAGGTCTATAGAAACAGGGTTAGAGTTAGGGACAGGGTGGTCCAGCTTGTTCTGGAAGTGGTAACAAGTGATATGTGACTAGGAGTCTGGTGTCTGATGGGCAGCTCCAGGTTAGTGAATGATGACCACTACAGTGCAGTAATTTGCAGTAAAGCATTAGGAATTGCTACTTTTGTCACATGGGAACATCTTAGATAAGAGCATATGATCCTTTAGGATTGAAGTAGTGTGCTAGGAACAGACTGCAAGAAACATGAAATGCTTGTGAGTGTTCTTTTCATTTAAATAGTAAGAGCAGTTTTTCATTTGGCCTGCTTAATGCATTCACATGTTTTTGGAGGGATATGAGTTCTTAGGAGGTTCTGTAATTTCTTCACCATCTAGATTAATGAAATAGTAATAGGTAATTTGCTAAGTTCTAGGTGGGTTTTTTTTGTTTTCTGTTTTTCGTTGTTTTTTTCATTGCTAGTTAAAGCAACAAAGAAACAGAAGAAAATATGTTTATACAAACCCTTTTGTGTCAATAAAATATAACAAAATGTTGGTAAATGTTTATTTCAATTTAGAGTTTAAATCATTCTTAGCCATAAATACAAATTTTATACTATTCCTAAAGGTGGGGGGGAAAAGCTCTTCTTGCTGCTTTGAAACTACTGAAGCAGAATGCTTCCATTCCTTTGGTGTTTTGGTTTTGTAGAATTCAGGCCAAGTTTAGGAGTAGTTTTGAATCCTTTAAGTTGCATCTATGGTGAATAAAATTTAGTTCAAAGAACTCCTGTGGTTCTTATGCCTGAAGTGTCTGAATGTCAAAGTTAAGGAAACAAAGAGGCAAGTTAGAGTCATAACATCTAGAACCGCTAAAATTAAACTATTGGAAGGGCTAAAGAGGTCCAAAGAAAATATTACTTTTGACTTACAGAGAGAAACATTCTCCAGTAATGTATAAAAATTAAATTTCTAATTGTTCTTAACAGATACAAAAAGAACTATGCAAAAGACAATGTTTATGGTACAGGTGAATAAGCGTGCAAAATTATTGTCTTGGATTTGCTCTTCCAACCTTTTTGATTACTTCCTGAGCATAACTGAAACATAGGATTGTAGTATATATTCACTCTTTTATTTTTGCTATGATGAGCAGGTCTCAAATTCTACACAGGTAGTAAATGTAATGATTTGAATCATGTGATTTCTTTGTGGGGAAATCAATTTCATGAAGCAAGAAAGAAGAAAAAGCAGATCATACAGCACTTCAGAAAAGCTCATCTAAGGAGTACAGTGATGAACTTTTACAGTTGCAATGGCAAATATGAGATTGGTTCGTTCTTCACTACACAGTTTACCTCTACTTGATGACTCAGTGCTTAAGAAAAGTGGAGTATCTTTAGGATACACTTTACAAATATGATCGATACTGCTGTTAAGCTGAGACTTAAAAGTTACGTGGTATTTACAGACAGTCATTCTGGAACAGTTGTTGCAAACAGCATAAAACATGTAGATCATATTGGAAGAACACAGAATTCTCTAAGGTAGCAAAGATATATATGTGCTGTTTATTCCATGAAACTTCTCATCTGCAGACCTCTACCTTCTTTGGTGTGTTTTGAGATAGCTAGACAGCCTGGAGATTGTCTCAGAATCTGGGCAAGTGAATGCCTTCCAAGAAATTAGATCAGCCTCTGCTTTAAATTTCCTACCTGAGTGTGGGCAAGTAGCTTTAAAAATAGTGAAGAAAACAGATGGCCTCTGTTCCATGCTTTCTAAACTAAGTCACTTGCATTAGTTTCTAAACTTAGGCTGCCTACCAAGTACCAAGTACTAACAACTGTAACTGAAGTAATTTGGGAGCTACCATTGCAATAAAGCAACATGCTCTGCTGAAAGGAGAATGGAATGCTAGAACTGGATTCTCTGGATCCTGTGTCCTGGCATATTCCCAGTTCAGCCTGTACCATTGGCCAGGGTATTTCTTTTGATTTCACATTTTGCTCCATAAAAAATGAGATAATATTTATTTGATTTGCTTCTCAACAATGCTGCAAAGGATAGCCCGGTTTTAATTGATAGATACCATGCCCTAAAAGAGACTAAGTATCATGAAGTATTAGGCCCTTTGTGTGTCAGTCACTGAGGCATGCAAGTACAGACACTTTTTGAGAATTCTTATTTTGATTTTTTTTTTATTTGTGGGCATACTCCCACATAGGTTTTGTGATGCTTAACTAATGCTTCTATATTACTTTTTTCAAAATCTGTGTTTGTGAAGCAGCATTCTTCCTGTAGACTGGTTGATGTTCACAATCAAAAGTTCAAGCACATCACTTTTTTCTCACATCAGAAACAAAGCAACAGTTTTCAATATGGAAATAGTTGCTTTGAGATTAACCTAATTGTACTAATCAGTTAGACAATTTGAGAACAACAGAGAGTTTATGTCTGTGGAGCAGAGTGGAGTGTGAGCAAATGTAAAGGTAACAGGTTCCTGGATAGGTAGAAATATCTGAAGTGGAATGTCTAGAGTTAGGGTCTGAAGGAGATTATAATGGCCTATAAAGGCATATATAAAAAGTCTCAATTGGGTTCATGTTTGCATATATACATATATGTTTGTGTACACTTTGGGAAGAAGGGGCAGGCAACTCAGGAAGAGTACAAGGACGTTGTTAGGTTGTTAGAAAGATGACAACTCAACTAGAACTCAGTCTGGCCACTGCTGGGAAAGATAATAAAGTGTTTTTATAAATAAATATACGACAAAGGGAGGGCTAAGGAAAATCTCCATGGTTTATTGGATGGAGAACATTATCACTAAGGATGAGGAAAAGTCTGAGGTACTTAATACCTTCTTTGCCTCGGTCTTTAACAGTAACACTGGTTATCCTCAGGGCAGCCATACCCCTGAACTGGCAGATGGGGGTGGGGAGCAGAAATATACTCCATGTGATCCAGAAGGAAATACATAGTGACCTGCCATGCCATTTAGACTGTCAT